CAACACACACTTCTGGAAATATCCATTTTGGATTAACCGTATATAAAAACTTTTTAATTTGTACTTTATCATGGATCTTACTCTCTTTTGCCCAATCTTGCACTTTCCAGCTACCATAATCCTTCTTCATTTTCTCCGTTTCCCAACATGGACTCAGTGCCCTTTTTGCCTTGTGTTCCTTGTCCTCACACCCTTGTATACTTGCCCAATAATTTAAAGCCAGCTGTTTTATTCTAAGCTGTATTGGTATCTCTCCCATTTCTACCTGTAGTGCCACAATAGGCGTAGTTTTCATTGCTCCACAACACACTCTTAATGTTTGACTTTGTATGATTTCAATCCATTTCATTAATGTTTTAGATGCTGAACTACAAACTATATACCCATAATCTATCACTGATCTTATCATTGCACTGTACATGTATTTTAATGCCTGAGCACTAGCCCCCCACTCACATCTTCTCACACATCTCATTATATTTATTACTTTCTTGCATCTTTCCTCTATCTTAGTTATATTATCCTTCCATATTAACCTTTTATCAAATATTACTCCTAAATATTTAAACTTATCTACTTGCTCCAACTCTTTTCCATACAATGTTAAATTCTCCATTACGTTCTTGCCTTTTGTAAACACCATACTTTTAGTTTTTTCCACTGAAAATTTGAAACCCCACTCACATGACCAGTTTTCCACCATGATAATTGCTTCCTGAACTTTCTTTTGCACATATTGGACATTTTTCCCTTTCTTCCATATTGCTCCATCATCTGCAAATAATGCCTTACCAAACTCATTCCCCACATTCTGAAACACACCATCTGTCATAATAGTAAATAATATCGGACTAATGACACTTCCTTGAGGAGTGCCATTTTCTACTTTACACCCCCTAGAAAATGTACTTCCTATTTTTACTTGAATATTTCTCTCACTCAAAAAATCTTTAATCCAGTTATACATTCTTCCCCCACTCCTAATTTTTTAAGTTGTATTAACAATCCCTCTTTCCACACCATGTCATAGGCTTTTTCTACATCAAAAAAGACTACTACTAATCTCTCTTTATTAATTAATGCTTTTCTAATTTCTGTTTCTAAATAAACATTTGCATCCATAGTGCCTCACCCTTTCCTAAACCCACTTTGATACTGTGATATCTTTTTATTTATTTCCAAATAATCTGTTAATCTATCCACTACCATCCATCCTTTCCATTATTGTTCCTATATGAGATGTCAATGCAACGGGTCTATAACTATCTGGACTACTTGATTCCTTTCCTACTCTAATTATTGGTACAATAACTGCTTCTTTCCAATTTTTTGGTAATTTTCCTGTTTTCCATATCATACTATAAATCTGCAATAATTATATAGCATATTTGATCTTTTCCTGGACTAGTCATACCTGTTGTAGCTAATGCACGTTCTAAAGCCGGGCGTACACTGTGCGACTTTTTCACTTTTTTGAGCCGATTTTCCAGTCGTGCGAGAATCCACGACATCGGGGCGAGTTTTGCGCCGAGCGGTCGTGTAGTGTACAGGGGGTTGCGAGAGGCGATTAACACCACGTGACCAGCTGCCGATCAGCAGTCGTGGGCTCGCACGGACTTCTGGCGTGTTTAATATTTTGCTCGTCCCTCGTGAGGGTATCGCACTGTTGAAGCGGCGCTGCGAGCAGCTGCGACCCAAAATGTATCAGAACTGCTCACGGCGCATGCGCAATCCTGCATCAACGCCGCTCCCCGCTATTTCCCTAATAACACAAGTTGTTTGTTTTTGTTTCTACACGTTTTTTTACTCACAAAGATTATCAAGAAAGCGTGTTTGTCGTGTTCATGTCAAATTAAACTGATCACAAAACACAGATTTACTTTATTTCGTTTTACTCATCCAACCCCCATAAATCCCTGTGTGTCCTCCTGCAGCACTCCCGAAGGACAACAGGCAAAACAAGACAAAAAAAGTCTGACGTGCTGTGAAAAAACTGCTATTTTTAGCATATTTTTAGGGCCGACGTGCTGCTACCAGACGTACAGTGTGAACAGTCAGGTCGCATCCGAGAACTGGGTCGTGCAGTGTGAGCGCATGACTCGTGAGATCTGCCCTGCGAGGAAGTCGTACAGTTTGAACTGAAGCTGAGTGCTATGAGTGAAAAAGTCGCACAGTGTACGCCCGGCTTAACTCAAACAAAGAAAAAGGCATATCCATAGTACTTTTAAAATGATCTTCCCCACCTCCTCCCCCGTGTATTTCATTTTTTCTTCTAGTTACTTCTCTTCTTTCTTCTGATAAATTATCAGTACTATGGAATTTAACAAATGTTTTAACAAGTACTTCTACTTTTTCCTCATTAGTTACAGCAAATTCATCTCCTACTTTTAACACTGGATAACTCCATTCTTTTCTTATTCCTTTCATTTTTCTTATCATTCCCCAAACATTACTTATCGGCGTAGTTCTCCCTATTTTTCCACAAAAATTTCTCCAACTTTCTCTTTTAGCTTTTTTAACAACTCTTCTCACCTCTGCTTGCAACTTTTTATAATTCAGTAAATTTTCCATATTATGTGTTTTCCTTAGTATTTTTAGGCTTTTATTTCTCGCTTTAATTGCTTTCTCACAGACTTCAGACCACCATGGCACATTCTTCCTCTCCCTTGTGTTTCCTTTAGTTTTTGGTATTGCTAACTCTCCAGCCTCAATTATCACACTTCTAAATACTTCTTCCATTTCCTCTACTTTATCTGATATCACTATTTTTGACCTCCATTTTTCACAATTATTCCTAAACTTATCCCATTCAGCTCTTTTAAAAATCCACCTCCCTTCCCTGCCTTCCACCATCATCCCTCTAGTCTCGAAAAGTTTCGTTAGAATTAATTAATGATCACTTCCTATCGTATCTTCTAGTACTTCCCATTCACTATTACCTGCCAACTCACTAGATACTAGAGTTATGTCCAATGCTGACATTTTACCCGTATAAACATCAATTCGAGTCCCTCTCACTGATATCACAGATCTGGATCAGGTTCGGGGAACCGTCTGTGGATCTGTTTGCGGCTCGCGAAAACGCTCAGTGTCGCCTGTGGTTTTCCCTGAGTCCCCGGGACGGACCTCCGCTCGGGGCGGACGCCTTCTCACACCAGCCCTGGCCTCGAGCGCTCCTTTATGCGTTTCCACCAGTCCCTCTGATTCCCCGTCTCTTAGACCGAATTCGGTCGGAACGGCTCTCTGTGATTCTGGTGGCTCCCAGGCGCTTGTCCGCGTCATGGTTTCCGGACCTGCAAGCGCTAGTGTCCGGCTCCCCGTGGAGGCTCCCGTGGAGGGCGGACGCCCTTCTCCAGGCGGATGGAATAATCAAACATCCTCCGGAAATAGGCCAACGGCTGTGGGTCTGGCCGCTGAGCGGTCACGCTTAGAGGCTTCTGGGCTGCCGCATGATGTGGTCGCCACGATTCAGAGTGCGCGGGCGCCCTCTACCATTGCGTCTTACGCTGCTAAATGGGCAGCTTTCCAGAAATGGTGCACAGAGCGGAATGTTCAAGCGCTCTCCTGCCAGCTGGCGGATGTCCTATCGTTTCTGCAGATACTGATGGACAGGGGCCTCGCCTTCAGCACTATTAAAACATATGCTGCAGCTATCTCATCCTGTCACCAAGGGTTTGGAGATAGATCTGTTTTCAATCATCCCCTCACAAAACGTTTTCTAAAAGGTGTCAGGAGGAACAGACCTGTGTCCCGCCCGCTTTTTCCCCAGTGGGATCTAACGGTGGTTCTACACGGCTTATCCAAAGCCCCATTTGAACCCTTGGACCAGGTCTCACTCAAGTTCCTGTCACTTAAAACTGCATTGCTGCTAGCGCTAGCATCAGTTAAGAGAGAGTGACCTGACCGCCCTTTCAGTGGCTCCCGCATGCCTCAGGATCCGGGAAGATGGCGGGTCTGCTGTTTTATGCCCCAATCCAGCCTTTGTGCCCAAAAGCATTAATGCTTCCTTCAAATCCAGGTCAATTTCATTGGCTGGAGTTTTTACTCCTCCCCATAATTCTGAGGAGGAAGCGGCTTCTCACCTTCTCTGCCCGGTGCGCGCGCTTGTACGGTATGTGTCACGCACTTCGGAGATTCGTCGTTCACAAAATCTGTTTGTGCACTACAGGGAGTCTTCCCTTGGTCAGGCGCTGTCGACCCAGCGTCTTTCGCACTGGCTGTGTGAAGCCATTTCCCTCGCTTACACGTCATCGGGGCAGGATTCCCCTGAGGCACTCAGGGCTCACTCAGCCAGGGGGATTTCCTCTTCGATGGCGCTCCACAGTGGTGTGTCGATGGAAGACATTTGTCAGGCTGCTTCATGGGCTTCATCCTGTTCCTTTACTCGTTATTATTTACGAGATGTGTCTTCAGGTTCCATCACTCGTTCAGTGCTTGGACCCCAGCAGGCTGAATGAATGCTTATGACGCCTCATTGGCCTTGCTGAGATGGATTTCATCCTCTGTGGATGATGTTTTTTAGTGGGGGCCCCTCTCTTATCGTGGCTGCCTCAGTCTTTAAGCCTGGTCTGAGGCTGAACCTCCCTCACTAAAGGAGATTGATTGGGTGTGTCCATTGGTTGTGTTAACCAGTGTGGCGTAAACCCATCCAGCTGCGCTTTATTCCAATAGCAGCTCGCTTAAGGGCTAAGACTAGACGAAATAGAATGTTGGTTACGTATTGTAACCCCAGATTCTATGAGTCTAGTCGCAGCCCTTAAGCCACTTGGCCCCACTGGTTATGATGGAATAAGAGCCATTGGAGGCGAGCAGTGGGGTCACTGCGGTTATATACCACGAGGGGGCCCACTATTGGTGGGCGTACATTTAAGCTCTTCATGATTGGCTGATGCGGAGATCATCCTTCCAATAGCAGCTTGCTTAAGGGCTGCGACTAGACTCATAGAATCTGGGGTTACAATACGTAACCAACGTTCTAAAATGAACAGTATCTTTAACAAATGTCACACACCCACCACCTACTCCCCCCGATCTTTTCATTCTTTTTCATCTGCATTTACCTCCATGTAGGACGAGGTCTTTACTACGGATCCTATCTCTATGAAGAGACATGAAATTTAGGTGTAATCTTATTACTACTTCTTATAATAACAGCATTTGTAGGGTACGTACTCCCGTGAGGACAGATATCATTTTGAGGTGCCACAGTAATTACTAATCTTCTTTCAGCAATCCCATATGTTGGCAACAACCATGTCCAATGAATTTGAGGAGACTTCTCAGTTAACAATGCCACACTCACCCGCTTTTTTGCATTCCATTTCCTGTTCCCTTTTGTTATTTTAGCAATAACTATGATTCATCTTATTTTCCTGCATGAAACAGGGTCCAATAACCCCACAGGTATCACAACAGACCCAGATAAAATCACTTTTCACCCTTACTTCTCATATAAAGATCTACTAGGTTTTGCTATTCTAATCATGCTTCTAGTATCACTATCTCTTTTTGCCCCCAACGTTTTAGGAGACCCCGAAAACTTTACTCCCGCAAACCCCTTAGTCACACCACCTCACATTAAACCAGAGTGATATTTCCTATTTGCCTATGCTATCCTCCGATCTATCCCATACAAACTAGGGGGAGTTATTGCCCTTTTTGCATCAATCCTTATTTTATTTTGCACCCCGTTCCTACACACCTCAAAACAACGATCCCTCACATTCCCCCCCTTTGGACAAATCCTATTTTGATTCATAGTAGGAGGTATTATTATCTTAACATGAATTGGAGGAATACCCGTCGAGCACCCTTACATTGTCATTGAACAGATTGAATCACTACTTTACTTTATGTTTTACTAATCTTATAACCACCCCAACTTGTATGGAGACAAAATTCTCCAAGGTAGCTTATTAATAGCTTAGAAATAAAGCATTAATTTTATAAACCAAAAAATGAAGGTTAAACCCCCTCTCAGCACTCAGAAAAAAGGAATTTTAATCCTTATCCCTGACTCCCAAAACCAGAATCCTACTTAAACTATTCTCTGCTTCACCTTCCACCTTTTTTGCAGGCCCTACCAACAATTGCACCCCCTCCAAAATTTTATAGCTTTATCAAAAGAGATCAAAAAGGTCGCCCAGGCTCTGCCAACCGGGGGACCTTTTTTTTGCCGGGCCTATCAAGGAAAAAAGCTCTTCTACCGGGCGGCCCCTTTTTTGCGGGGCGGCGGGGGGGCCCTTTTTTTGCCGGGCCCTGCCAATTGGGTCTAAGAGTAAAGTACTTGTATGTAATTTCACCATTAAATGATATGCACCATTTAAACGACGGTGCTATATAAGCACCATAAGATATTCTCTATCCCACTGTTTTCCACACTCAGGCAATCAAACTGGATGAAACAAGCGTGGACACATGGATGGTTTAATGCCTGTTCTACCTATTGGTTGTGCGTTAAATTCACATATACCAGGACTCACCTCCTCTGCAAGTCAATCCTGCGATGCAGTAAGAGACCAGCATCAGTTGATTTCTTAAGGTGAAACGTCATTGATGGTCAGGGATCGAACTCGTGGGGGTCGCACTTTCTCTCATTTTTCCTGACATTTGGTTCCTACTTCAGGGCCATCAATTGATAATCACTCCCCTATTCGATTCTTATCCAAGAGGCATTTGATTAATGGGGATAATACTAAAGCAGGAGCACCCCCCATGCCGGGCGTTCCTTTCCAGTGGCTATGGTTCTTTTTTCTCTCTTTTCCTTTCAATAGACTTCTCACAGTGTCAGTAATCTATGTTTGAAAGGTGGAACTAATCCTAGGAATTGAACGTTATAAGTGAACGTTGGAAAGATTTTCTTTTAAGAGTTACTTAATTGATTTCAAGTACATAAGGAATGGTCTTTCTCGACGAATTTCCATGAAGTCGTATTTTTGGAGAAGTTTTCGCGTAAACCCCCCTACCCCCCATCAACCGCGAAAAAAAGCTATAATCTTGTAAACCCCCGGAAACAAGAAACTCTCGGTTTTGAAAAGGAGTGTAATTTTACCCTAAAAAGTCTTAATAATCTTACGAATGAGAAAAATAAAGTCAGCCTCTTATAAGTAAAGTGTTGAGAGTGAGATGACCTATTAATTTACAGAAAAACATAAAAGCTTAAACAAATATGTTTATCCTTTTTCCTATACTTATGGAGATTAAATTTAAAATGGGAAAAACGAGGCATAAGCAAGTTAAGAAATTCACGATTCTTGCCAGGACTTTAACCAGGACTAGTAATTTCAAAAACTACCATTGTATTCAACTACAGGAATAAGTAGCCAACCCATAAAAACACCCCCCCCCCCCCCAATATTGCAAATGACCCCTTGACTGACCTTACTACTCTTTCTAACATCTCGACATAATGAAATTTAAGTTCTTTAATGATACATGTTCAATTAACCAAATATCATGAGAACCTGCACCCAAAATGCACTATACAAAATTATCTAATACCTCAAAAATTATGGGTACCACATCAAAATTGTGCAAATTAAATAGTGATGTCAGGACCCCATAATATCATATTGTTGCAATACATTCTATTTTAGCCTTGCAGTGTCACACATATGTTACACTACCGTAGTGTGTGTATCACAATATGCATATACGCATTTGTGTAATTACAACGTACACATATACATCTGTGTAATTTACAATTTGAAAAAAAAAACATAGTGATGTCAGGACCCCCCCCCCCCCCAAAACACACATTGTAATACATTTTATTTTAACTTTGTAAGTCTCACATTTGTCACACTACTGTAGTGTAATTTGCAAAGTATTAGTCTATACCCTAGTGTAGCAAATATGAACAGTTAACGTAGCTTAAATAAAGCATAACACTGAAGTTGTTAAGATAAACCTTAGAATGGTTTCGTAAACACAAAAGTTTGGTCCTGACTTCACTATCAATTTTAACTAAAATTATACATGCAAGTATCTGCATTCCCGTGAGATTTCCTTAAGTCTTCTTTTGAATTCTAAGAAATTATATCAGGCACAATAAAATTTTAGCCCAAAACATCCGGCTTAGCCACACCCCCAAGGGAATTCAGCAGTGAGAAATATTAAGCTATAAGCGAAAGCTTGACTTAGTTTTTAGGGCCGGTAAAACTCGTGCCAGCCACCGCGGTTATATGAGAGGCTCAAATTGACCGTTAACGGCGTAAAGCGTGTTTAAAGTACAACCAAACTAAAGCAGAACACACCCAAAGCTGTTATACGTGGTTGGGTGAGAGAAAAACTTTTACGAAAGTAGCTTTAATTATCTTGAATACACGAAAGCTGTGAAACAAACTGGGATTAGATACCCCACTATGCACAGCCTTAAACTTTAATATAAAAATACATCTATATTCGCCAGAGTACTACGAGCATAAGCTTAAAAACCAAAGGACTTGGCGGTGCTTTAGCCCCACCTAGAGGAGCCTGTTCTATAACCGATAACCCCCGTTAAACCATACCTTCTCTTGTTTTTCCCGCCTATATACCGCCGTCGTCAGCTCACCCTGTGAAGGAAACACAGTAAGCAAAACTAATATAATTCAAAACGTCAGGTCGAGGTGTAGCATATGAGAAGGAAAGAAATGGGCTACATTTCCTATATCAGGATATAACGGATAATATTATGAAATATAAAAATTAAAGGAGGATTTAGCAGTAAGCGGGGACCAGCGTGCCCTGAAGCTGGCCCTGAAGCACGCACACACCTCCCGTCACTCTCCCTAAACCATTGTACCACACATACATAATAAAAAACTAAAATAAAAGGGAGGCAAGTCGTAACATGGTAAGTATACCGGAAGGTGTACTTGGCTAACTCAGAGTATAGCTGAATTAAGAAAGCATTTCACTTACACCGAAAAGTTATCCGCGCAAATCGGATTACTCTGATACTTAAAAGCTAGCTACATACAGTAGTCAACACATAACTATCAACATGCATTAATATACTAAAAATTTTATTAAACCATTTTTCACATCTTAGTATAGGCGATAGAAAAGGAAAATTTAAGCTATAGATTAAGTACCGCAAGGGAATGCTGAAAGAGAAATGAAACAACACAGTAAAGTATAATAAAGCAGAGATGAACACTCGTACCTTTTGCATCATGATTTAACAAGAATAAATTAAGCAAAGTGTTTTCTAGTTTACTACCCCGAAACTAAGTGAGCTACTCCAAGACAGCCTAAAAATAGGGCAAACACGTCTCTGTGGCAAAAGAGTGTGAGGATCTTTGAGTAGAGGTGACAGACCTATCGAACTTAGTCATAGCTGGTTGTCTGGGACTTCGATAAGAGTTTAGCCTTTTATTTTCTAAATTTAATTCTGACTAAATCATTACAATAATAAAAGAATATTAAAGAGTTATTCATAAGCAGTTCAGCCCTTATGAAAAAGGATACAACCTTATCGGGTGACTAACGAACACACACAATATAAAGTTAATGTTCTAGTGGGCTTAAAAGCAGCCACCTAAGAAAAAAGTGTTAAAGGTTACACATTACCACCACTTTTAATAAAGATTTTTTATCATACATCCCTAAACTTACCAGACCTTTCCATTTTCTTATGGAAGAGATCATGCTAATATGAGTAATAAGAAAACTTTCTCCTAGCACCCTTGTAATTAGGAACGGAAAATCCACCTAAAATTAATCGACCCCAACAAAAGAGGGAATAAAATAACAAAGAGATAACAAGAAAATTATTTAAACATAACCGTTAACCCAACACTGGAGTACATTTCTAGGAAAGATAAAAGGAAAAAGAAGGAATTCGGCAAATATATTCTAAAGCCTCGCCTGTTTACCAAAAACATAGCTTCTTGATTACCGAAAATAAGAAGTCCCGCCTGCCCTATGACAAAGTTTAATGGCCGCGGTATTTTGACCGTGCAAAGGTAGCGCAATCACTTGTCTTTTAAATAAAGACCTGTATGAATGGCATAACGAGGGCTTAGCTGTCTCCTTTCTCTTATCAATGAAATTGATCTTCTTGTGCAGAAGCGGGAATAAAAACATAAGACGAGAAGACCCTATGGATCTTTAGTCACTATTCAGGTAAGAAAGAACCTTTTGGCTACATGGGTATAGTTTGAGAAATAATAGCAATTGGTTTACTCGGCTTCATTGTTTGAGCACACCACATGTTTACCATTGGTATAGATGTAGATACCCGAGCTTACTTCACATCTGCAACTATAATTATCGCTATTCCCACCGGAGTGAAAGTATTCAGTTGATTGGCTACCCTTCATGGAGGTGCAATTAAATGAGAAACACCCCTACTATGGGCTCTTGGCTTTATTTTGTTATTTACAGTAGGTGGTCTAACAGGAATTGTTCTAGCCAACTCGTCTCTTGATATTGTTCTTCACGATACTTACTACGTAGTAGCACATTTTCACTATGTTCTATCAATAGGGTCAGTATTTGCCATTATTGCCACATTCATTCACTGATTCCCCTTATTTTCAGGCTATACACTCCACGAAACGTGAGCTAAAATCCACTTTGGTGTAATATTTTTAGGAGTTAATCTCACATTCTTCCCACAACACTTCCTAGGGTTAGCAGGAATACCACGACGTTATTCAGACTATCCAGATGCCTATACAGTTTGAAACACTATTTCTTCTATCGGCTCTCTAATTTCTTTATTTGCCGTAATCATATTCCAATTTATTATTTGAGAAGCATTTTCGTCAAAACGTGAAGTTCTTTCAGTAGAACTGACTCAAACAAACGTTGAATGGCTTCATGGCTGTCCTCCCCCCCATCACACTTTTGAAGAACCTGCATCTGTTCAATGTAACTAGTGTATCGAGAAAGGAAGGAATTGAACCCCCATAGTTTGGTTTCAAGCCAATTACATAACCGATCTGTCACTTTCTTAATAAGACCCTAGTAAAATATTACCTTGTCTTGTCAAGACAAAATTGTGGGTTAAAACCCAGCGAGTCTTAAAAATGGCACATCCTTCCCAACTAGGTTTTCAAGATGCAACTTCTCCTGTAATAGAAGAACTTCTTCACTTTCACGATCATACCTTAATAATTATTTTTTAATTAGTACCTTAGTACTTTACATCATTATTGCAATAGTGACTACCAAGCTTACTAATAAATTTATCCTTGATTCACAAGAAATTGAAATTATTTGAACACTCCTTCCAGCCATGATTATAATTTTTATTGCCCTCCCGTCACTTCTTATCATACCTGATGGATGAAATTAGTAACTCTCACCTCACAATCAAAACTATCGGACACCAATGATATTGAAGCTATGAATACACAGATTATGAAAATATCACATTTGATTCTTACATTACCCCAACTCAGAATTTAACACCAGGTCAATTCCGACTACTAGAAACAGATCATCGAATAGTAGTCCCTATTGAATCACCTACTCGAATCCTGGTTTCTGCAGACGATGTACTACATTCATGAGCTGTTCCAAGCCCTGGCATTAAAATAGATGCAGTACCAGGACGGTTAAACCAAACAGCATTCATTATCTCACGACCAGGTGTTTATTATGGCCAGTGCTCTGAGATTTGCGGAGCTAATCATAGTTTTATGCCCATTGTTGTTGAAGCTGTCCCGTTGAAATACTTTGAAGATTGATCTTCTTTAATACTTCAAGATGCCTCGCTAGAAAGCTAAACAGGCATGAGCATTAGCCTTTTAAGCTAAATATGGTGCCTCCCAACCACCCCTAGCGAAATGCCCCAACTTAACCCCGCTCCTTGATTTTCAATTATAGTTTTCGCCTGATTACTTTTCCTAATTGTTATTCCCCCAAAAGTATTAGCACATACTTCTCCTACCAATGCTTTATCACAAAAAGTTAACTGTTCTAATACAGAGTCTTGAGTCTGATCATGGTATTAAATCTATTTGATCAATTCATAAGTTCCACCCTACTGGGGATTCCGCTAATATTACTAGCTTTATCCCTACCCTGAGTTTTATACCCAAAAACCTTTTAAACGCTGACTTAATAACCGTACTCTAACAGTACAAAGTTGATTTATTAATAGCTTTATTAAACAAATTTTTTTACCTATAAACACAGAAGGTCATAAATGGGCAATACTATTAACATCATTATTAATTTTCTTAATTACACTAAACCTTCTAGGACTTCTTCCGTACACTTTTACACCAACTACACAACTTAATATAGCATTCGCAACCCCTATTTGACTTGCCACTGTAATCCTAGGTATACGAAAACAACCCACCCATTCTTTAGGCCACCTATTACCAGAAGGCACCCCAACCTTATTAATCCCTATCCTAGTAATTATTGAAACTATTAGCTTGTTTATTCGACCTTTGGCTTTAGGTGTTCGACTTACAGCCAATCTAACAGCAGGGCACCTTTTAATTCAACTAATTGCTTCAGGAGCATACTTTCTTTTCCCACTTATGCCAGCAGTAGCACTGTTCACTTCCACACTTCTTTTTCTTTTAACTCCTCTAGAAGTAGCTGTCGCTATAATCCAAGCATACGTTTTCGTATTGCTGCTAAGCCTTTACCTAAGCCGGGCGTACACTGTGCGACTTTTTCACTCGCAGCGTTCAGCTTCAGCTCAAACTGTACGACTTCCTCGCAGGGCAGATCTCACGAGTCATGCGCTCACACTGTACGACCCGGTTCTCGGATGCGACCTGACTGCTCACACTGTACGTCTGGTAGCAACACGTCGGGCCTAAAAATATGCTAAAAATAGCCGTTTTTACTCAACACGTCAGACTTTTTTGTCTTGCCTGTTGTCCTTCAGGAGTGCTGCAGGAGGACACAGGTATTTATGGGGGTTGTATGAGGAAAACGAAATAAAGAAAGTGAATCTGTGTTTTGTGATCAGTTTAATTTGACATGAACACGACAAACACGCTTTCTTGATAATCTTTGAGTAAAAAAACGTGTAGAAACAAAAACGAACAGCGTGTGTTATTAGGGAAATAGCGAGCGACCAGCGTTGATGCAGGATTGCGCGCGCATGCGCCGTGAGCGGTTCTGATACTTTTTGGATCGTAGCTGCTCGCAACTGCTCGCAGCGCTGCTTCAACAGTGCGATACCCTCACGAGGGACGAG